GGATACACGGGTGCATATCTGCAGCGTAGGCGATGGTGAGGATAGCAAAGAAAGTGATCAATGGCCGGCAAACAACAGTTTGGGATGCATCTTTCAGAGATGCTGCTCATGGCGCCACTGGTCGGAGCTGACCTTAGGTACATGTATCCTCCCATCGAGCCCCGATCCGCAACCACGGGGGCTGGTGGCGAAATTGGTATCGCGCTAGATTTCGGCTCTAGCGATTGCGGGTTCGAGTCCCGTCTAGCTCTAATTGTGTATCTTTTTTTTCATCCTGCCTTTTGGCATCTGATGCTCTTTCAGTTAGAACAGTTCTTGCTTGCTTCAAGAAGACATGATATTTTACATTGCATCGAGTCGATGGTGACTTGGCCAGGATGGTGCTTCCGAGCCCGTGATGCCTGTCATCGACATCCACGGTCGAGGGCAGGAATCGGCCATGACGCATTGCCCTGGGAATATGATTCACTTTTTCACTTGTTGCTGCTTTTGGTCATCCCTTGTTGGTCTCTAGCCTTGCAACCTGCTACCCAAGCAAAAGCAAATGATCGAGCACGTACCTACTATTCGATAGCATGATCAACACCGGCGTAAGTGGAAGCCACTGTCTGGGCCAGCGATGCGTCGTCGACAAGCATCTAGAGAGTCAGAGGAGGAGTCACAGCACATGATACAAACCTCCTCTACTCCACGCACACACAGCCCAGCCATCGAAGTAGCACGTTCGTGGTCTGCATAACACAAAATATTCCCCGTCGGCCCACTCGACTTGTCAAAATCCCGACCCCATGGAAACATTAAGGTAAAGTGCCCCGATAGCTTGATCACGTTACACGCGTAAACTGCCTACAAAGCAAAATGAGCTGTACGTATAACGTATACGTCTGCGGGTTCCGGTGCTTGCTATTCACCCTGCACGATGCTCAGCCGGAACACTTGCCAGTTCACGCGCGAGGCCAGGGGGCGAGGAGAGATGGTCTTGTTCGGATCGAGCAGCTCACCACAGCCTTGGTCACGCAGCACTCGTCCAGGAGAACGCCCGGCCTTATGCCCGTTGCATGCATTTGTTCGCCAGTGTCAGCGAGCGGCCGAGAGGGGGACCGGGGATCGGCTCGACCCGGACCCGGAAGCAGTACCACGGAGGACGTTCGGTTGTGCGTCCGCTGGGACGTCCAAAGCCAGGCAGCATCGACAGCAGAAGCCATGATAGAGTGGCAGTGGGGGACTATCAATTCACCTCGATGGTCTATCCACTGCGAGGTGAGTATGTGTGCGGGTGGTTTCTGAGAGACATGCTTGCTGGTGAATGGTTCCCGCGGCGCGAGCCAGACCAACGGCCTGAAGAGGGGCTCTCGAGGCACCCCGTCTCACGAATGCGAAAGGTGTTGACGTGACTGGTACGATAAATGACAAGACGCCATGCAGACAAATCTGCGGGCAGCGCTGCCCCCACCGCGAGAGCATCGTCGCCCACGGCTGGTCTGAAGCCTGAAGGCCTGTTCGTGCAGATCGTGGTCCTGGTTGCGACTGATGACAAGGGTCGTGCAAGTGTCATCCACCACTAGTAACGACATGTACTCGCGAATCCGGGCCTTCCATAGATGCCAAACACAATGTCTTTAAAGTGCGAGCCTTCTTTACTCACTACCTATTCTATCGTGAGTATGTGCACGGGTGTATTCTGAGAGACTGCTTGCCAGACTTGCCACCAAGTGGAGAGACAACTTCACAACGCTGCGTCGAAACAAACCTTCTCCCGACGCAGCGTTCCCCTCCTTCAAAAACAATCTCGAGCACTATCGTCGATACATCGACCAGAGCCCGAATGGGCAAAAAGTTTGGGCGCCATCCGGGGATTGAACCCGGGACCTCTCGCAAGCAATGCTTCAGGGTGTGACCCTAAGCGAGAATCATACCACTAGACCAACGGCGCGTTTTGTGAACAAATCCCTGGTTGGACCAGGGGCCGGTCGATGGGAGTCAGGGAAAATTGTGCGGTATATGAGGGCTGAATCAGCTCGACCCACAGACTTGTCCTCTCCATCGCGACGAGATGTCTCTGGTAACGGGCCTGTGAGGTCTTTTCCTTGTGAAGATGTACATGTTCATGGGAACCTGTCCGTGTTACCGGTTGTCGAGCACCAGCCCCGCCAGCAGGACCTGATCATGCTCTGGTAGATGAGAAGTCGCCAGGCGATATCTGGGCTGACACTGCATACTTGTGCAGCCAACATAAGGAATGTCGCCAAATCTCTGCTGTAGAGTCATGGAGGGCGATCGGGGAGACGGCCATTTGCAACAATAGTGAAAAGGAGCGAGACGCGAGATAATGCAAGTAGAGGCCGAACATCAACTGACTAGCACCGAGGAACAGGATGCCTGCCCGACAACGCTGCCAAGTTGGGCATTCAAGTTTTGCTCCAGCCTTCAGCTTTCTGCCGCGGTCATGGCGGTGGAAGCCCTCATTTCTTTGCTGTCAGATAAGGAATCGACGTATTCTGGACCGAGTCACAGGACCCCGTCGCGGCGTGCTTGACAGCCCACCGTATGCACGCTTACCGTTGCTCGTCGATGACTTTTCAGAACACATCATGCTTACACGTGGACAGTGTCTTTGGCTGTTTGCCTATCATACCATAACCTCAGCAACACAGCTAGTAGTAGACAATGCTCCGAGGCAAACGGAGAGCATAGGGATCAGGCAAGTACTCCAAGATGTGAGGCTTCTATTTTCATCCGCTGTGTACTTCGGTTCTCTACGTCGCCAGCTGTCTACTTCTTCCTCTTCTTCTCCACCGCCTCGGCGCCTCCTTGGCCTTCTCCTTCTCCGCCTCCTTCGTCTCCTCCTCGACCTCGAAGAAGCGCCGCAGCGCGCAGGAACGCCGCCGCGTGCCTGAACTCGCCGAGCCGACCTGCATCTGGTCAAAGGCCATGAGGACGAC